GTAAGTAAGTAAGTAAGTAAAGTAAGTAAGTAAGTAAGTAAGTAAGGTTTTATTTATAAAGCGCCTTTCACAGAAATATATTCACAAGGTGCTGTACAATCATTAACAATGTAAAAAAATGGTGGAGAGATAAAATGAAACAGAACAAAACATAATAAAACATGAGCAACGTAATGAAACATCAAATCAAATTTAAATTATAAAATTGTAACTCAGACACATTGTCAATGCAGGACAAAATATACAAAGATTCACAAAACATAGAGAATGGGGGAGAGAAAAATATGTTGTATGTTCAAAAATAGAAAAACACACAGTTGGCAAGCATTCACCATGGAGGTAGGCTGGTGTTAATGGTTAGCTATACACTTGAGTAAAAAAGCAGGTTTTTAGGTGTTTCTTGAAAGAGACAATGTTGTCAATGGAGCGCAGATGAAAAGGGAGTTCATTCCAGAGCCTGGGGGCCACAGAGGAGAAGACACGGTCACCATGGGTCTTAAAGCGAGTGAGGGGAACCATGGAGATTCTGATCTTGTGAGCGGAGGTCCCGTCTGGGGTTGTAAGGAGAAACTTTTAATTATTCAGGTGCTTGGCCATGAAGAGCTCTGAAGGTGAGGACCAGGATTTTGAACCAGAAGCCAGTGAAGTTCTGCTAGGATCGGGGAGATGTGGGTGAATTTAGAGGTTCAGGTTAGGAGTCTTGCTGTGGAGTTTGGACAAGCTGAAGACGATTTAACTGTTTCTGGTTAAGACAGGTGAACAAGCTGTTACAATAATCTAAGCGGCTAGAAATGAAGGCATGAATTACCATTTCCAAATCTGAAGTGGACAGCAGAGGCAGGAGTTTAGAGATATTATGAAGCTGAAAGTAGCATGTGGAAACCAGATTCTTTATGTGTTTATCTAGAGACAGATCTGAGTCAAGATTTACTCCCAGGTTGTTCACATTCTGCTGAACAGTTGAACTCAAGGAGCTGAGATGTTCTTTTATCTTAGGAATTTTAATTTCTGGGGCCAGGATTAAGGTCTCTGTCTTAAGAAGGTTTAAGATAAGCAAGTTGCCAGACAGCCACTGGTTAAGTTTAGTGACACAATTTATGAGAGAGGTGAGCTTGTGGGTGGTGGAGTCATTAAAGGAACAGTATAACTGCAGGTCATCTGCATAGAAATGGTAGGAGACGTCTGGGAAATTTTTGATGACCTCAGTCAGGGGGCGGATGTAGAGCAGGAATAGAATTGGGCCCAGGTTGGAACCCTGTGGTACTCCGCAGGTGAGTTTGGGTGAGTCAGAGAGAGATTGGCCTAATAAGACTGAGAAAGAGCGGTCTGAGAGGTTTGATTTGAACCAGTCTAGAACAACCCCRGATATCCCTATRTCTTTCAGATTTTGAAGTAGAATAGTGTGATCGACAGTGTCAAAGGCTGAGGACAGGTCCAGTAAGAGGAGGACAGAGTACATGCCTCTAATAATTTTGTTAATAGTAATATAAATAATTTTTATGATTTCTACATCATCAGTCCTTTTTCAGTTCATTGGACTCAAGAAAATATTCCATTTTTCCTTTTCTTCATCCTTTTTCTAAAATCCACACATTGTCATGAGAAACCCTGCAAATTAGAACGTGAATATGAACATTTTCTTTTTGCTTTTTAAGAAAATTTGTTTATATTTATCAAACACTGTTTTACAACACCATTGTGTAAAATGTAAACCCAAACAGGATACAATGATTACAAAGCCTATAAATCCATTTTTTCTCCAACAACGGAACAAAGTGGAGAGTGATGGCACAGAGGTTAGAGAAGATGAGTCTGTAATCGGAAAGTCACTGGTTCAACTCTTTGGACCAACCAGACCCACTTTGGGGCATTGAGCAAGGCCTTTAACCCCTCAGCTGCTACCCGGGCACTGTAAATGGCAGCCCACTGCTCCACATGTGTTCACATGTGCGATGGGTAAAATGCAGAGAATTAATTTCCTCATCAGGGTATATAAGTGTATATCATCAGTGTATATAATAAAAATATAAAATAAATAAATATTTAAAAAGTTTTTTTCTGTTTTTAAAGGGAATTTGATAGTAGTTGAGATGGACCTCTGTTCATCAGACACAGGTTGTAAGAGGAGGGGATATAAGGAAGTAACGATGAGCTTAGCTTCACCTATCTGCAAACTCCTCCAAAACCTGCAGCTGTTAAAGGAAGAGGGGTGTTTTACAGAGCTGAACAGGCTTTTATGTTTTCTGTTATGTAGCTGCTGTCAAATTCAAATTTCTGAGTTTAAACATTTGATAAATTTACTGTTTTCTACAGTAATAAATAAAACATGTGTTTATAAGGGTTTATATGGGTTTATAATGTTTACAAATCTTTGTATCCAGATGTTTTTAATCATTTATTTTAAATATAATTTTTCAACAGTTGTTGGTCTTTCAGACCTCGTCTCAGTAGTCTCTAATAATATCTTTTCTTTCTTACATTTGAAATTGAGAACATGACAGTACACTTTCTTTTTTCTATGTAAAGACAAAATATTTAGATTTTCAACAAGTTAATGGCTAGTGATTCATTCAGAAATGACAGCTTTGAAATTTGCATCACTTAAAATTGTCTAGTCATTATTAGAAAAATTTAACAACTTACCGTAATTACAGAGAATTAACTTATCGGACTTAAATCATCATATATTCAATTGATTGATTTGGCTAAAAATAATAAAAAGATCAAAGCTCAGCTCACATACCACTCAATATAATTTTGATTGTTTATCTAAATGTTTTATTTCTCAAACGTATACTGCAAACAAAGAAGAAACTTACGCATATCTAACTCAGACCTCTGACTGAGAGAACATTTTCATTTTCTGCACCTGGATGTTTTCTGCAGGCACCTGGGCAGTGAGCACTCCCTGGATGACAGAAGCACGGCTCAGTGCAGAGTCCAGATGCAGGTGGTTCAGCAGCTGGAGCTGCAGGTGAGTCTGAGGAAAAGGACAATATTGTGAGAGTGTGTGTCTCTGTATGTGTCTGTTAAGATATTCAGGAAATCACAGGACAAATTTGAATGAGATTCACAGAAAGTAATCACTGGATATCAAGGAACAAGATATACTTTTAGAGTAAAACTGAATCCAGGATGGACACTTCAACTAACTGATCTTAGCAAACACAAACATGGCTGCAATTCAGTCAATTTTACAGATACTGACCTAAAATTTGGCATGCTAATAACAGAGTGATTCATCAAATACAGTATACTTCAATCACAACAGACGAAGTGTTTACCAGTGTTGTTATAGCATCCTTGTAAAATGTTTATCAGGCCAGCAACCCTCCAGGCTTATATTTCTGGAAGGAAACATTTTATAGTTTTACACAGTTTGATTAGTTTCTCAAACAGTTTTACACACTTTTAATGCTCATTTGTGATACACTGCTCTGTGTATCAACTGGTAACAATTCCTCTAATTTTGTAAAACTCACTTGTTCCTCAAGCCTCAGGCCAAGATAAGATAAGATAAGATAAGATAAGATAAGATAGACTTTTATTGTTGTTGTACAGAGCACAATGAAATTACAGTTCAGAACACCCATTCAGAAGAAGACAGAACATAACAAACATAGGAGAACAGGTGCTCTGGGTCATGCCGCCACAGACCCCTGCACAGAACAAGGACCATCATCATGAAGACATCTTGAGGAGGCGCAACCCTTAAAAGAAAAACTAAAAACCACACAAGGGAAGATGAGGAACAAACCCCCATCATATATCAAGAAATGTGTTACACTATTGTGCTTATAAAAAAAAACTCTCCATAGAGCACATTTATTAGCCAGAGAAGTAAGTTGAGTTTAGGGGGCGTGTATCTGAAGCTATGAGTGTTGTATGCACTTGTGTGAATATCTGAGAAATGAGCCCGAAGAATCGAGTCCCCAAAACCCTTCCAGCCATAGTTCAGAACATGGATGGTAACTGTTCTTTCTGTGCAGCCCTCAGCTTGCTCCTCAGCTCTCTCTTCACCACAACGGACCGGTACAGCGCCCGCTTTACAGCAGACGCTGCGCCAATCCGCCTGTCGATCTCCCGCTCCGTTCTTCCCCCATTCGTGAACAAGATCCCCAGATACTTAAACTCCTCCACTTGAGGCAGGACGGAGACTGGTTCCAGAACCATGTGTCGAGGTGAGGCCGACTATTTCTAGCCGAAACCTCTCAGCCTCGCACACTAGCTCCGGCTCCTTCCCCACCAGAGAAGTGACATTCCACGTCCCAAGAGCCAGCTTCTGCAGCCGAGGATCAGACCGCCAGGGTCCCCTCCTTCGGCCGCCGCCCATTTCACAATGCGGTGAGAGGCGCCGGGCAGGAGTGGGCATACTTGTTGCCCCCCATCTTGGCACCTGTACGTTGGAGTTTACCC